CCCCGATGAGAATAGCTCCCTCCCCGGTGTGGGCATGAAGCGAGGACTCCCCCTGACCTCTCGCAGGCTGATAAAATCACCTAGACCCTTAATTAATTAATGCTGGTGGCTTACTGCATGTGGTTTGGAACCAATAATAATAGCGTAAGAATACAGTCCACGGCGCATAGGCAGTGGAATTTTAGTTGCCGCGGGGGGTTCCCCCGCCGGGCGCCTTATCGTGTCGGGGTCACGGGGGTCAGCTCCCTGTCGCTGTTCTGTCTGGGCCGACTTAATTTTTGGTACTTTTCAACATACAATTTAAGGTGTGTCCTTGTATTTATGGTAATTCTCATTTAGTGCACCCAAAGCATCCATTTCTGCTCTTGAGACTAAAAAAAGAACGGACGTTGTAACTTGTCTGGTTATTTCGTTAGACGCGCTGTAATCGGCAAAGCTAAATTGTAATTTTTTTTGGACTAGCGTGAATGAAAAAAAATCAATATAAAAAAAGGCCTCGTCAAAATCTGTCGAACTTTTGGAACATGAACGACATAGCATTGGTGCAGATACTCAGAAAAGATGGTATCTGCGCATATAATAGAAAGCTGTAATTTTGCAACTTTATCCATCCGGCTCACAATTCGCTATGAAGTAATTCCTCCAAATCCAAATACAACTACTTTATGTCTCTAATATAATCGGGAATATTCGCATATTTTCTAAAAAATTTATGAAAGCTACCATGAAGTTTCTCTATGAAAAGTACAAATCTATTTTAGTGCTAGAATACATCTTCAATGTAAATCTAATACACGAACAGTATCTGTTACACTCCAGAAATTCCTTACTTTTCTTAACCGATTTCCCTTTCTTAAAACGCTAAGTCTAGGTTTTGTAAGTTGACTGAATAATAGGGATGACTTCTCGTAATTGGGTTATAAGAATAATTTCCAGCTTTCCAGGGACACTGAATCAGCACCAGACTTTTCCAGCTTTATTTTTCGTTTCTAGGCCTATGGCCATTTGCAATAACTGACAAATTTGACTGATTTCTTTACGTTCATAACTGTGTCCGCGCATATTTCCGAAACAAAAACTAAGAATGAATGTGTTAGCTGTCATTATTTTTATTTCATACAAGAAGTTTATCTCTATCCATGTATTTACACGGTTTTGTGGTTTTTTAATCGCTTAGATTCTATATTATATCTTTTTAGTTGTATGCAGGCTGCCACAGACACAGCATGATTGAGATTCATGAACAATCACAGAGTAACTTTCTCTTGTTTAATAGTAGAATAGGAGCTAACGCTGATCGTCTTTAGTTAAAAAATGCAGGTGCATCTTTCTTCTCTTATTACTTCACTATTTCTACTAGCGCAGATTTAAGATTTCTCATGGTAAAAGACATGATATTCGTAGTCAGTTGAACACAGATTTTGGAGATATCTGTCGTGCCTTTTTTAAATTAACAAACATTCATTAATAAGTTTGTAACTAAAATACGACAAATTGCGTACTCTACAAACACTTGTGTAGAACAAAAACTAAGGCACAGAAATTAACCATTCTAACGCAGAATAAATCTCAAGACATTGAGCTTTTAGTACATCCGCGTAATGGTTTGCTATGTGGGATGGGGAAGAAGTTATATCGTTTTAAACATAGTCAAAAATGCGAACTTCCTAACCGACACCGGCAAAGTCGCTCAGGGCTCATTAACCCCGTGACCCCGAGCCGGGGAGCTCCGGCGGGCTGCTGCTGAGTCACGCTAACTAAAGGTAACAGAATCGGGCGAAAAGTGACGCCATGAGTCGCCTGCCTTAACTGAAATCTTTATAAAACGGAAACCTGTCTTAATGGAATCTCCCCGTTCCCCCCTTGATATATTCCTCTTTAATTAACTGTATAAAACGGAAACCTGTCCAATGTGGAAACGGAAAGACAATCCGCTCCCTTCCAAGGGTTTCACCAGTCTAATATGGAAAATGCTTTGCCTGCTCAGCCCTGATTTGAAACAAAACTCGAAAGTTTGGTTCCGCCGGTTCTAAAGTTAATGCTATGGCCATTCCGCTGGGCGAGGAAGGGGAGTAGGGTTGCAATTTGGGGGTAGATGTTACCCCATCTTGTGAGCCCTGAGCGATGCAGATGGTCAGTGTAGTGTGGGTGAAATCTCACGAATGCCCGTGAGAGTGCTCAAGTAGCGAGCCAAGACGGAAACTTTCCCAGGTAGCCAGAAGCCAGAGGTGGGAAATTAGATTGACCAATGTCTGCTGCCCTGATCGTACAGCCAGCCGAGAAAAGAGTTCCTCGAATCGTTGTTACAATGAAGGCAGTGAGTAGGGGTGGCATTGGTGGGTATGGCTAATGGTGGAAGCAAAGGAGATGTTCAAACGTTTCTGTTTTTAATAGGTCAAACAGTGGTCCTATGAAAGGCCAGCACTGGTAGTAATTTGATAAGTAAGTGTAAGACTGAGGCATGTCATTATCAGACAGGATAGCTATTGAGAGGTGTGAAGTTTTGACCACTGCTTGCCGATCGGACAAGCGATCTTTGGTTCCAACGGCAGGGCCTTTCCCCAGAACCTCCATCTCCCCCTAAATTCCCCTGTCTAAGACGAAATTTTTTTATGGCTCCCTTGCGATTCCGGCTTACAGAGGTTCGACTGTACATTTTTTTCCGCCTCTCCAGTAAAAAAAAAAAGCTCACTGTCGACGCTACTGAGCGGGATAGGGGACCAGCCGCTAGCCGGATCATTCATTGTTTACACCATAGAGTTACCCCTTTTATACATCTATGGTTTACACACTTAACGATGGCAGGCCTCTCACTCTCTGCCTGCGCACAATAAATTATGGTTCCAGGAACAGAGAGCGTGTACAAACGTAACGAGACACAAGCACGAGACGATAAAGGCTCTTGCACTACGGTAGAAGGGTTGTAATGTTGTAAATTATTCAGACCGAATGGGCAAGGGCGTTACATGGTGTTAACTAGTTTAATAAATAAACAATCCAAGCTCTTCTCTTCACTTTCATTTTAAAACTTTTTTTCTTTCTTTTTCTTGCCTCTTATTTCCCTTTCTTCTTGAACATTATTTTGAATTGGAGCCAAAAAAGAGCCAGTAGAGATCGCCAAATGAAATTCTTCGGGCCAGACACCATCCAAAAGAGCCAAATTTTTGGGATTTGACTCCTAACTGACAACCCTGACTGTGACTATTCTGACACGAACAGTGAGGAACATGATGCTGTGGAGCATCAGCCCTGACACCCCACCCCCCCCAAGGGTTATGCCCGCTAACCTCAGCCCTGATCCCTCTAGGGTCATTTCCGGAAAAACGAGGGGGTGAGAATAGCGAGACATAGGTTATTCTCACCCGGGGTGAGAATAACCACTTCCTCTATGAAAAGAGAGTTAACTGCATTCACTTAACGGGAGGAGTGACCCGTGTTGAGGACCATTTTTTATATGTTTGTTGACCGAGATCAAATCAAAGTAGGCATATAAGTTAGGCATAGAAAAATCTCTTGATACGCTATTATATTTGGGCATAGCTACAGCGGTTGCTATGGAAACAGCCGCCATCTTGAATATATAAACTATGAGTTTCAAATCCCTTATTTACTGACCAAATTGAAGAAAGGGGTCACCTGATTTCAGAGGTAATCTATTGAGAAAATGGCCGCCAAAGTTTAGTAACTTCCATAGCTTGAGTGTCCTTGGGAAAGGAAAATTACCATTTTTTGTGCCATTAATCAATGATTTTTTATATAATCCAGACAAAAATTTGTTTTTAAATAGATATATTATATAGAAAGTGTTCAGCCAAAGAACAAATATTCGAAAAAAATCGGAAAAACTGGCGCTAAATTGTCGTTTTCTTCTATTTCATTAGTTTGACGAGCGCCTGATTTCACCACGATGCCTCATATAAAGTATGAAAGCTATAAACCTGATGGTTTTTTAGCTGAACAAACTCTAAGACACCACCCCCTCAGAAAATCAGCCGTAAAGTTTTAGCATGAGAAGTAACAACACAAAAAGGTACCCTACAAAAATGATACTTTTTCATGCTTTTTGTAGCATACAGTCATCATTGGGAGATTTTTCGAATAATTGTAGAGGTATGGAAAAAAAAAAAGAGAAATCAAATTTTTATAAAATGATACTTTTCACCTCAATCAATTAAAAATCTGCTGAAACCTCAGACACCCGTCTCCTTAACTTAAAAAAAATAAAGAGTTAAACATGGCTGCCTAAAGGCTAATTGGACGCTCATTATAATAATATTTACATCTGGTTGATTCTTTTTTGCCTGCTTTTATTGCTGGTTTCATAGCCATTTTTGTTAGGTGGATGTTTATAGTTTTTTCTTTTTTTTTTCTTTTTCGAAGGTGACAGTCCATTTGTCTATACTTCACCCATGGGTAATGAGGTACAAAAAGCAGCCAAGGAAGCAGCTGCTGAGGCAGGCATAGATCCTTCAGACCTTGGTGATGAGATGGACTTACAAAAACTGATGCAGCTTCTGGGTAAAGAGAACAGTGGCAAGCAAGTCTCAGATTCATCAGACTCTGATGGTGAAGAAAACAAAGGGGAAAAGAAAAAGAAGAAGAAAAAGAAAGCTGACAGTGGAATCAGTGATGATGACTTGTACAGAAAGCTGAAGAATAGTACAGCACGAGAGCAGACGTCAGGAGCTGAAGCACTCATTGAGTGTGCTACGAGAGGGCGCACTGCTTTGATTGCCAGATTTCTCAATGAGAACCCCTGTGTTGATGCTCAGGATAAGCAAGGCCGAACAGCTCTGATGATGGCATGTGCAAAGGGCCAGGAGAATTCTGTACAGCTGCTGCTAGAACGTGGGGCAAACACTAACGTGGTGGACATCCGTGGGAACTCTGCCCTTCTTGTGGCTCTTGCTGCCAAACAAGAAAATCTAGCACGAGAACTAATTGACCATCGAGCCGACATCCATGTGAAAAACAATAACCATGACACTCCTCTGCATGTTGCTTCTGGGAAAGGCTTGAATGATATTGTCAAACTGTTGATTAAAAAGGGAGCGGATATTAATGCAAAAGACCTCAGACAATGGACACCGTTGATGCAATGTAGCCAGCACAATCTGTACGATACTGTTCAGATCCTTGTCGATGCAGGGGCCAATGTTGATGAGACTCAGGTATCAGGTGGAAGTGCCTTAGAGATCAGTGCTGACCATGGCCACATGGAAAATGTGAAGATCCTCTTGAAGGCAAATGCAGATATCAATCATGCTAATAAACGAGGGTGGACACCTCTAGCTTCTGCTGCTGGTCACGGACATTCACAGGTGGTGCGCAAGCTTATTAAATATAACGTTGAGCTGAATCCAACTGACAAGCATGGAAGGACTCCGCTTTTCCAGGCTGCATTACAGAGTCACAGGAACGTTGTTGAAATTTTATTGAAAGCTGGAGCTCACCCAGACATCACTGACAACAAGGGAAACACGCCGCTGATGTGTGCTTGTCAGGAAGGTAACATTGGGATTGTAGAGATTCTACTAGACTATAAAGCTGATGTCCTGCTGACTGACTATGAAGGATTGACTGCACTGTACATGGCAGTTCAAGGCAAGCACAGACAGATTGTGAGAACGCTGCTGTGTCAACATGACAGGCCATTCCCTGGGATAAACTTGAGGGTGAAAAAAGGCACATCTCTTCTACTCCGAGCTGTAACCAGCGGAAACCGGGATGTCACAAGGATGATAATCGAGGCTGGTGCTGATGTCAATCAAACCGATGATGACGGCAAAACTCCTCTGTTGGTGAGCAGTCACCAAGGTTACCTTGAAGATGTACGGATGCTTCTGAATGCTGGGGCCAGGCCTAATGAATGCGATGATGATGGTGACTCACCCCTAATGATGGCTGCCTTGAAAGGTCATCTGGAAATTGTTAGATTGCTGTTGAGTTATGGAGCCTCTGTTCATTTATCTAACACAAATGGAAGAACTGCTCTCATGAACGCTGCCTACAATGGACATGAAGATGTGGTAGAGTTACTGTGTGAGTGTAAGCCTGACCTTAATGCTGTAGAACATAAAGGATGGAACGCTCTCATGTTGGCAACTCAGTTCGGACACTCAAAAGTGGTGAGATACTTACTGAGTAAGGACGTTCCCTGTGACATGCGCACTAAGGATGGCTCAACTGCTCTCAACATAAGTGCTGCCAATGGGAAGTTTGACTGCGTCCTGGCTCTTGTTGACAAAAATGCCGATGTTGATGCTATGGATGAGAATGGCAGCACACCTCTTATTTTGGCATCTGGAAAAGGTCATTGTCGTATCGTGGAACTTCTTCTGAATAACCGTGCAAATGTTGATGCATCCAACAGTAAAGGGCATACCGCCCTTCTTCTTGCGGCACATAAAGGGTTTGACAACGTTGTTCAGTTCCTTCTGAACAAATGTGTCAAAGTAAATGTGGCTGACTGTGATGGGGATTATCCAATCCACACTGCTGCTTTGAATGGACATCTTACAATTGCCAAAGCTCTCATTGAAGCAGGTGCCCGAATTGACGTAGTAGATAAAAAACAGCGAACTCCACTGATGAATGCTGCTCATAAGGGGGACCACGAGTTGGTGAGTTTACTGATCAGCAAAGGCGCTAGTGTACACCAGCCAGGAGCGGATGGCTGGACCCCGCTCATGCTGTGCACTCAATATGGACACACAGACTGCATGCGAGTCCTGATTGATAACGGAGCTGATATTGAATCTGTTGATAAAGCTGGAAATACTGCTCTGATCATTTGCTCTGCCAATGGCCACAAAAAAGCTGTTTGTATGCTATTGGAGCATAATGCCAACCTCAATGCCCAGAACAATAAAGGCCAGACTGCCTTAATGGTGAGTACAAACAATGATCATTTAGAGATTGTTCAGTTTCTCCTAAACCATACGTCTAAAGTTGAAGGCCAGGATGTAAAAGCAAATCTGGAACTGCATGAATATGAAAGACTTGACACTGCGCTTATTATCGCCGCTCGTCGAGAGAGAACCTCCATATTGAAAGTTTTGCTGGATCAAGGAGCAGATGTCAATGCACAGAACAGACACAACAGTACAGCCCTCAATATCAGCGCTCAGTATGGCTACAAGAACATTGTTGAAGACCTGTTGGAAAGAAATGCTGATGTGAATTTGACTGATTCAGATGGGGATACCCCCCTCTTGAGCTGCTGTCTAAATCCAGGGAATCACTTGGTTGTCAAGTCACTTTTGACCAAAGAAGCTGATGTAAATATTGTCAACAAGAACAATGAAAGTGCTCTATTTTTGAGTGCCAAAAATGGCTGTCGTCGGATTGTTGAGCTATTGTTAAGGCATGCAAAGTTTGAGCCACATCAGCTTGAAAAGGCAATCAATGCTGCCAAAAGCAACAGTCATCAACAAATTGTGGAAATGCTAAATAATGTAAAGGAGTCTACCACTGCCAAAACCACTTATGGTGAGTCCCTGTCCGCAATTTGTCCTTTTTCCATACATAATTTTTTAAAATCAGGTTTTGAAATTTATATCATGTGTAGTGTGCTGAGTGTATAGTCTTGGATTTATGTGTGTAAAGATAAGTTACGTAATGAAATAGTACTTTACAAGACTTATTAATATGAGAAATAAAACATAAACTTTTGTACGCGTATGTTAAAAAAATGTGTTTGAAATTCATTACTTTTAAAAATGTATGCAATATTATGTCCTTTATTTATGTAATTATCAAATCTACATTTAGATCTAGATCTAACCTAAAAAATTCATTTGCTTCAAGTTCAGCAAAGATTTAAATTAGAACACAATATTTATCAAAGCTTCTTTATATGGCTGTGAATGCTGGACAATCACTAAAGACAGTGAAAATAAAATAGAAGCAACAGAAATGTGGTTTCTTAGGAGACTACCAAGAGTATCATGGAAGGAAAAGAAATCAAATGAGGTAGTGCTTGATGAAGCCCACGTCGGACTCTCAATGTTAAAAACAATCATGAAACGACAAAAAATCAGTTTTTGTGACACCTGAATAGACATAAGGGTCTTGAACATCTAGCTCTCACTGGCAAAATTGAGGGCAAGCGAGGCAGGGGTAGGCCCAGAACAACCTACTTGGGGAACCTAAACAAATGGGTAACAGGGAAAGATATATCCGAGCAAAGGATAGGAATGAATGGAAAACCATGATTGCTGATGTCTGTCGCAGATCTGGCACTGGATGATGATGATGATTTATCAAAGCCCAAAGATCATTTTACCTTTCTTTCCTCTCATCCAAACCACTAAGCTGTTCACGCCAACATATGTGTAACGATGCAGTGGAATCAGGCGCTTGTCAATATTTGGTCATATCGAATTTTTGGTATCATCTTACAGTCTGCTCATTTGTCTTGTTTTCAATTTAAAAAAATAGATCTACCTATTTATCTCCATTGAGTTGAGATGTATGGGATTGAAGGAAGTAGGGATCACCTGGTTTCAGAGGTAAAATTAGTCAGAAAATTGCTGCCTTGGAAACTGAAAATTTACATTTTGTCTGCCTTTAATCAACGATTTTCAGTAAAATCCACAGTGCAATGTCTTTTTAAATGGACGTAAAAGGTGTTGAGCATAAAAAATAAAAATACAATAAAAATGACCAAACGGGAAGAAAAATGCTGTTTTCTTCGATATCATTATATTCTCGAGTGTCTGATTTCTCCATGATGCCTCACATTTATTCAATGTCACTTCTTTTCAGGTTTCTAAATTCTTTCCCCTGTAATCCCAGTGTCAAATGATGCTGGTTTAGGTTAATATTTTTTAATTTTTTTTATGTTCTCAAAAGGATTCTGAAAAATGCTTTTATTTTACTCAAAAACTACATCTGAGCTCTTCTTTTCAGCTGGGGATACTGGTGCAGAAGATGATGCCCTGAGCACTCCGCCTTGTGATAAAGGTGCAACTGTTGAGGACAAAGACAGTGAGGATGGTGTACTAGATGAAGGGAAAGATGAAAGCTGGAGATCGCCAGCTCCAAATCTTTTCAAACTCGACCAGCAAGACTCGTAAGACTTTAGTTGATCATTCTGAATAAGGAAATAAAGTTCTTTACATTTTCCATTCAAAAGGGGACAGGAACAACTGTCACATAAAAGTCAGTTGCACTGCAGGCCGAAAAACCAGCAGTCGACTACCCCTGAGTTCTAGAGCCTTTTCTCACAGACTTCCACTGTTTTATACATAGCCCATTCACATGAGCGACTTACTCGCACGTCTGTGGCAGGAAGTGGTGGGTCTCCGCCACAGAGTCGCTCGTAGCCATTCACACGGGGCACTAAGTGGCGTGTTTTTCATTCGTCTATGCACTCGGAGCTTGTGTGTGGGACAACGTAGCAATGTGTTGTTTGATACAGACAGTTTTAGAGCCCTTTCACACAAACCACGCTGTGGCGAGAACCAGCCACACGGTAGCACCACAGAGTGGCGCCGCTGCGTGGTCCGTGTGAAAGCTCATTCCCAATGAAAGAATGAAAGAAGGAAAAATATTAAGCCTGCCTTCCTGTTTTTTATTACATCACTCAGACATAATACTGTCATAATATTATCTCAGTTGAGTGCTTGACTTGACAGGAGAAAACAATTTTTTCCATCTAATCTACTCTCTCAGTTGTGGCTACAATGGAAATTAATATATTCAAGTGTTTTGCGATAGGACCCCTCATACTCCATACAAATAATCAAATGCTATAACAATTCAAAGTAGACCTATAGAAAGTTTTTGTCTTTCAATGTTCAGGTTAGGTGTGCTGGGATGGTGTGTGGGGATAGATGTGTGTGTAGGGGTGTATGTAATTTGTGTGTGTGGAAGGGGGCATGATGAGGTACATACAGTAGTTTTGGAAGCACTCTTTAATACTCTTTTGTCACTACAGTAGAACATGACTAGCGGTACCCACTACAGCGGGACCATCCCTACAGCAGGACCTTACTGGAATCCCCTTTTTTGTCTAGATGTAATCTCAATTAACTGTGCTTGGCCAGTCCAGTGGTGAGTAGGGTAGAGCAGGCGGCTGAGAGAGATGGTGCGGAGAGATGCGTTACGTGAGCCACTTGAAAAGTGATGTGCCATAGCCTTAGGCCTAGGCTAGGCCAAAAAGACAGTAAAAGGAGAGGAGAGCCTGTAGTATGTTATTTTTTTAGGCAATTCTCCTTTGCATTCCTATAGCGAGAACTTGCCTACAGTTAGATTTTTCTTTTGGAACTAAAAGTCCAGCTATAGCCATGTTCTACTGTACTCATATTGAGCACTCATAATGCTTTGGATGTTTTAACTCCCCATGGCAATATCATGAACTGATGTAATCATGGATGCGTGGTTGGCAGGTGCTCTGGTGTGATTTGCTTCTTCTTTCCTCTTTCCTATTAAATATCCCTATTGTCGTGATATTTTTTCCTTTTTTTGTGTCAGTTTTCGTCAGCTATTGTTACTCACATTTTTTTGTTTAATTGTTTTTAAAAAATAAAAAATCTGTTTTACCAGTACCAGTGAAACAAGTGGAGAAAATATGGCCGAACTCTTGGGTGCTGTTCGGAGCGCACTAAAGGAGCAACAGTCACCAAGGTAGGTTATATACTCATGAGGGGGTGAGATGCAAAACCCACTAAGCGACATTTTGAAAGAAATTGAGATTTTTTTGCCTATTGATGCACATTGTCACCGCCTATCAGATGCACAAAGAGTTTTCGGCCAAAACCCAACACATGCTCTATGTAAAACATCAAAAATCTTATTTTAATGCATTTTTATGTATAGAAGCATTTTCAAAGCTGATTTTCTTAAAAATGCTAAAAGGGATGTAGCAGATTTTGCATCTCAGCCTCTCTTGTATACATATATTTATATACATATATATCTCTATACATACATACAATCAAACATACGTACATGCATACATACATAGGGCCTACATACATACATGCTGACATACAGACAGACAGACACACTCACACACACACACACACATACAGTGAAACTCTGATTCAACGAACTTGGATTTTTTTTAAACTCGCGGGTTCATCGAAAGGACGTGGATTCCCCGAATTTTTTAATATTCCTTAAAATGAACAAAATTAACTCGGATTCAATTAACATACAAATGAGCAAGCTCAAATTCAACAAAGTCGCTTGCAGGGTAAACAGTCCCCGCTGATATGGCTTCCCTCATTTTCCTGCTGCAACTAACGATGTCTATTCCTGTAAACCATCCATGGCACCTGCATCGTGAACCATTATTCATTTAGCCTATAGGCTAACTTATATCTTATGCGACCAATCAGCAGCCTTATTTCATACCAACACTCGCATTGTTGGTAAGCGCACATGTCTTACTGTGTGTCGGAGTCGGACTGGGGGCCTGCACAGTGTGACTGTGTGTACGTACGCATGTCGTGGGAAGGGGGCGCAAGCAGCACGGGCGTGGAACGCTGTTAGAGATACACATGCGCCAGTCATTTTTTTGTTCCCTGGCTACTGATCAATATTACAATGAAAAGCCAGTTTTGAAATAGATTTACGTAATGAATTACATGCATCCCCTGAGATATATGGAAATGGTTAACACATCGATTTCTTTATTTAGGTTATTACAGTGTCAATGCACGATTGGTCCAATTCTTTGGAGCACTGACAAAATGTTAATGCCTTCACTATTTCTCACTATTACTTTTCATTTCAGGAGCAGAAAATCTAGTATGTCATCTCACCGATCCTATGATGGTCAAGTCGGAAGAAAGCCAAACCGTGGTGCTTTGGCAAAGCGAAACGACAGTAACGCCAATGAGTCAAAGTGAGTTTGTACACACTTCTTTTGTTTCTTTCGAGTCTTTTATCCTTGATGTGGGTGGTTGGCAGAGGCTCTGATGTGATTTGCTTTTTCTTTACTATCAAACATCTATCGTCCTTATATCTTCTCCTTTTTTTGTGCGTTTGTTACTCTCTTGTTACACCTCTAATCTTCGGCACTTTTTTTACCTAATTGTGAAGCAAGTACAGTAAAACACTTGCTAAAAAAGCGTTTTTGATGTTTTTACTTCCGTACAGAAATAGTTGTCAAATACTTTTGAAGATGCCAAAGGCTCAGAAAAGTTTCTATTGTGATGGTATAGAATATCTGAAGGATGGAAGGATTCAGATTGAAAGACCTAGTTTCCTCAGAAAGTACAGCCTCTGATTTACCTTTTTAATTATATTGTTTACATGATTTTGCCATATAAATTTGTTGTCGATTGTAAGACCAAGATGTTTATATGAATCCGTGATTTCAATTGTTTCTTGTTCAATTACGAGTCGTGGAATTGTTGTTTGTTCTCATTTAAAATAAAAAATCATTTCCTTTGTTTTTGAGAGGTTCACTTTTAGAAAATTTGAATTGCACCTTTTAAAAAACATACATATTTCTTCGAAATACTCTTTTTCATAAAGATTTATTAATCCAATAATAGCGGAGTCATCTGCAAACTTAATTAAGCGTGTTGTTTTGTATTAACTTCTATGATCGTTGGTATGTACTGTATACAAAACTAGTGACAAAACACAGCCCTGAGGACCGCCGGTGTTGCAAAGGATTATGTCAGATTTTGTGTTGTTCAGCTTAATATATTCTGTTCTGTCTGTCAAAAATATGCAATATGATGACTAACTCTCAGACTCAGAAGTTTTTCAATGACAATATGCGGTTGAGTTGTATTAAATGCTGAGGAAAATCAACAAAAATACATATCTGATCTATCTTTGATAGAAGTCGCGATATGTACAAATGATGGAAGTGCCTGATTTCAGAGGTAAAATAGGGGAGAAAATGGCTGCTAAAGCTTGGTATCTTCCAATGCTTGAGAGTCCTTGGAAACTTATAATTTACATTTTTTGTGCCTTTAATCAACGTTTTTAAGTAAAATCAACACAGAAATGTGTTTTTAAATGGACTTAAGCTGTAGAGCTGAATAACAAAAATTCGACAAAAGCCTGACCGGCAGAAAAATGCGGGTATCTTCTATTTCATTATTTTGACGAATGCCTGATTTCTCCACGATACTTCACAAATGTCTTTTCACTAAGTACACATTACCAATATATCTGGTCTGATACCTAGGCTCTTTGACTTTCCTACAAATGACTGGAGAGGAAGACATTATATAGAGTACCTCTGTCTTTCAGCTGGGATATATACCCCACGAAAGCTGGGTTGTCCCTGACTGGCAGAAACTGCCACATACCTCATGAATGTTCCAAATTGTATTGATGTGGATTTCAGTCATTTACGATGACTTCATAGAAATTGCACAGAAACACTTTATCTTTATCATGAAATGAGACATCCTAGTCATTGCCTTCCTCTATTGCTTTTGATTAGTTTCCAGTGAAATTAGTGTTTTAGATTTTTGTTTGTTTTGGGTGGGTTTTTGTGTTTCAATTAGTTTAGATCTCTTTTAGCTTTAAAAAAATGTTTGTTTTTTAAAATATTCTTTTCAGAATTGTCGTCAACTTCACCAGCATTGATCAGGCAAGATATGTGGCAGCTGGCTGTTATTCCAGCATCAAGAATGGAGATCCTTCTGACCACATGAACCTTATGCATGATAACAAGGATGATAAACCAAAATAAGTTGCAGTTGAAAGAATTAAGTATGGTCTGCTACAGACAGAGCTTTTAATGCGAACAGGGGTTTATTGCTGTTGCAAACCTCTGCTGCAAGTGTGAATAGGAAATGTACAGCAACCCAAAAGTCCCCTTGAATATCATTATATGAAGTAAGACATGTATTTAAGAACAAAATGTGTGTTAATGTTTTTCTTTCCTCTCTGCTGAGTACTCTGTTGGAGGACCAACTGTTTTGTCCTTTGAAATGTCCTACATTGTGTCTAGTAGGATATTGCATAAACGCATTAGGAGAAGAAGTCTTGTGTGTAAATATTTTTCAACTGATTTTGATTAATAATGAGCATTAATAATGAGCCATTCCAGTCTGCTTATAGGACAAACCATAGCACAGAATGAATGACATTCTTGCTGACAGTGATAAAGGAAAAGCTGTTTTGCAGAGCCTTTTAGATCTATCTGTACCTTTATTGAAGTTACTTGAGGTGTTTTTGGAATAGGGCCTAACTGTAACTGCCCTTTGCTGGTTTTGTTTTTGTCTATCAAATTGATATCACTCTGCTGTTTTTGGGCAGTTTTTTCACCATTTATACTTGTCAAGGAAATAGTTAAGTATAATCTAAAGTATCATTTCTAGGCTGATGATACCCAAATCTATGATTCAACAATGTCTACCAGCTTAGACGTAAAGGAACTTGTCCGTTGGGCTGAAAATTGTATTGTTTCCGTGAAAAAGCGCATGAATAAAAACAAACATGTAGAATGATGATAAAACTGATATTGATCTGACTCACAGGACAAAGTTTAAATAAGGTTGATGACGATCACATAAACATGGATGATACAGAAATTGTATTTCCAAGAAAAGTTAAAAACTTTGGCATCTGTTTTGATTCTGATTTGTCAATGTTGGCTGAGGTGAACTTCATGATCAGCTGAATGTAGATCTACATAGAAATTAGAAAAGTCAGTAAGATGTGCTATCTAATCAATATTAAATGTCCTGCTTTGTTAGTAAGTAGTTTAGTGTTTATCAAGATTTGATTATTTTAACTCTTTATTATCAGGAGTGTCTCCGGAGAAACAGAAGCTATGCATTTAGTTTTACAGAAAAGAAAGTGAGACTCTTTTATGGACACTGCACAGGCTTCCTGTTTAGGGAAAAATTATGTTCAAGTTTAATTAGCCACTCAATGACAAAGTGCTTTAATAGTTAAGCACCATCATATTTATCAAATCTGTTGAAACTGTACATGAGTTCGGTGATTTAGGTCACAATCTTGTAAAAACAAATTACTTTTACCATTTAAAAAAGTTAAACAATTGGTGAAGGGGCATTTACATTTCATGGCCCTAAGATCTAGAAAGTATTGCTTGGTAAATTTAACAGCATTCAAATCGTTTGATTCATTTAAAAGTCAGTTCACGTCATTTTTTTTCTTAGATTTAGATTTTTAGTCAGAAGACAATGTATTGTCTATGTATATTTGTAAAGCGTTCAGAGCCATGTGTTTTTTAATTGGGGTAGAGCACTATAAGAATGACACATATTATTATTATTAACAACAATCTTTGCGTGTGAGATGCTGTTAAGAATTTTGTCCAAATGAATCTTGGAATTCATTCTTTGCAGTTTCATTTTATGGACGTTTAATTATGTTCTGTTTTGACCTCTTGATGTAATTCAAACAACACCATTAATTTTTGGTGAAACAAAGCTCTTGCATCCGTTCAAAATTTCTTGGTAAGATTTCATTTATTATTTCAGCTCCATTCACAATTTATTTAGTGTGCTATGAAACTAGTATTAGGTAGGCCTACTTAATTTTGCATAAATTGAGATATGATCATTTCAGTATTTTTTATTTCTTATTTTTTATAATAAGAAGTTTTAAATTGTATTTATTTGTTTATGTTAATCTTTAGAAATACAAAATATTTTGTTTCCAAAACCTTCAGTCTGAAGGTACCATAGTTTAAATGTCTAACAATAAATGAGCAAAACCAAAATCTAGGTGAAGTGGGATGGAAATAGAGCCATGTCCGGAATGTGCATTAAATAATATAGAAAAGATAATGTGCAGATTTTCCTGTATCAAGATTTAACATAACCCCTTTTTTCCTAGACTTTTGGTAAATTTAATGCCTTGAAATAATTGCACTGTGTTCTTGTTGTATTATTGCACCGTTTTGATCTACTATTTTAACTGAACTTGTTTAACTCTTTTTAATAGGCACACATTGATTTTTTACTGAGAAATGATTTCCTTTATAGATTTGTTTTTCTTCTACTTTGCATCAGAATAAAATTTGAAGTTATTTTATTTATTTTTCTAAGCCTACCTTTTACATGGCAGAAACTGAATCTGTTTTGGGACTCTCTTGAACTGCTTTAATACGAACAGTTAATTCACATCCTAATATTGTGAAATTGCATTTATTTTTCCTATTTAGCTTTTTTTATAAATGCTTTTGTATTCGTTGTCGCAGATTTTATTGTGAGTGTACAACTTGCTTTTAGTCTATATATAGTTGAATGAACAATCGTTATGACTATGTAAAGCATAGATTTCGAAGGTGAATTGAATTCTATGTTTATTTATATGTACAGGGGAGCAATTTTAGTTGATACGATTGAATGTTTAGTTTTAGTTTTAGTGAGACTTTTATAGCCCTCGCAACTGCATAAGATTGAATGTGCTGACAAGCAGATGAGTTATTGTTGTATGGCCTCTTAGGGAAAACAGAGTAGAAATATCTCTCTACTGAACCCTGATTTGATGAGGCCTCAAGGCTCTGCTGGTCTAGATTCTGACTCAAGGGTGGTTGGCAGGTGCTCTGATTTTTGCTCCTTCTTTCCTATTGAACACTTATCTTTGTTATATCTCCTCTTTTTTTTCTTTGAATGTTAATCTCTAGTAACACTTCTAATCTTTGACACTAAGTAACCTTTTTGTGTTATGAGTCCTGTAAAACCCATATAGACATCTGATAACATAGGGTTGCGGGTAATAATAGTTGTTTTGCTGCTTTAAATGATTGTTTCATTGTATTTCTGAGTGTTTGGTTTTCTGCATAGATTTAATTTATGCGAAGAATAGTTGCATGCACCGAACAGATAGTGACAGTGTATCGTTAGCTAGCTGTTCTAGGCCCAGAAAGCAAAAGTTTGTTTTAAGAGAGAGATTTAAAAAATGCATGTAGTTCGTACTTTTAAACATTGTATCTCCATTATGTATCTTTTCTTGCTTTTTAAAGCATTTTACAGTAGAATATCAACAAAATATTTCTTGAGCACATGCAACAGATACCACAGATTAAGAAACTGCAATTTTTTTTAAACTTCAAAATTCGTTGGGCGAGTACATCGGAACATGTATGTCCCTTGGCAAACTGAATAGGTATCAGAATGTATTTATTGGCTTAGAGTGGTGTTGAGCTTCATATCTTTAATAAGAGATGGGCCGGGGGGGGGAGGGGGGGGGGGAGTTGGGGTGAGGGGTTGCTCAAGATAATGGAGTATATATTTACTTGGCCGTTTAATATTGATTTTGGGTTATTTCCAACTACTACTATATGTATGTTGCAAAGATCTTCAAAAGAAAAGGCAGGATACCTGCTCTTTCTTATTAACAGTTTTTTTTAAGCTAGTTTGTTTTTTATTTTATTTTTGCTTGTTTAAGCTGCAATTTATCACTCTTTTCCTATTTTTTCATTCTTCATCTTTGTTCATTTTGTATTTGGATTGAACTATTTAATATCAATGTTCTAGCTTCTCCACAAACTAAACTGTCCTTTGTTATATAATGTTCTAGTAATTCAGGCTTTAGAGCTTTAGCTTTGTTGAATATCTCATGTTTTTCTGATTTGCTTGCACTGTTACTTTTTTTTTTTTTTAAGAAGCTCATACATTTCACCATTGCACTGTATGGATATCTCAGTATTTCAAAGTGGGGACAACATACTAGTGTGGAGTTTATCACAAGTTATTCACTGTTGATCAAGTAATGATTTTTAGAACAAATATCTTGATATTCCCCCCCGGGCAGTGCCACTGACTGAAGTGTCTTTAGGCCATTCCCAAAGGGGAGACATTTCTCGTTCAAGCACGGTAGAATTGTAAATGGGCTGATTCATGTCACGCTCATAACTGTGCCTGATCTACAACAGGGAACTGCTGCTTTTTCTTTCCTGATCCTTACTATCGTCATTTTCCTCTACTTCTTTTGTATGTTTGTCACTCTCTTGTGACTTGCTATTTTGGGGTGCCTTGATAGTCGAAGCAGGCCTTGTGCTGTTGAAGCTAGAGAGGTGAGCAGTCTAAGTCTGATCCCCTGTAAAGACTTCTCTGTTGACACCCACCCTTTGGCGCTCGTATGACCTTATGCAGTTGCCAGCGCCGTACAACCCTCTACTATAAAAAAAAAAAATATAAAAAATCTTTATATGAGACCTGATTGCTGTTTTTCTTATTTTTAATAGAAGCCACCCTAATTTGTTTTTACTAATGTGATGTTATTGTGAATCATTTAAGTCTTCCTGCAAAGGATGTACAAGATTACTAAATCAAGATTTTAATATTTTGTGCACAATTTGACCTATTGTTTTGGAATTTTTTTCCTTTTTTGTATGGCTTTCTTTTCAGTGTTTTGGATATTATTGTTATTTTTTTATTTTGTGCTTGTTTGGGTTAGGTTTTGATCTTTTTGGAGAAATGGGTTGTGGGGATTGAATTGTATTGCGTATTTCGGTCTAGAGAAGAAGTTCAATAATTCTGTGTTATCGTCACTTTTATGTTATAAGCCTTCTGCCTTTCGCTGATGTAACAAGATTTGTATTTTGTTTGTGGCGAAATATATGATGTATGTAATTGTTGACATAAAGAAGTCAGGTACCAGTTTTTAATTTTCTTTTCTTGTTGTTTTGTAAGGAACATCTGCATGTGCAAGGGTTTGCTGTTTTTATGTTTTTAATTTCTACTATGTGACCTGTGTAATGAGACATCTCATACCAATATATGAGAGTTGGCTTGGAGTTTTATAATCTGTATTTTGTGTGAGGGATTTTTCTTACACATAAGAAAGGCTCCAAGATAATTCAAGTAGTACTTCCAAATTTCCGGTCTATCTCTGATAGAACCGAGCTAAGTGGCTGGAGAGCTTTAAACACTCCCCCAAACAAACCAAGTTCAAGAATTCCCTAGGCCATATCCCGAATTTGAACCATGGTCATTCACACTGTGGTTAAGCATGAAACTAACTGAACCATCAGAAATGCCGGGTTTGGTGAATAATGAAAATTGAAGTTTTTGCCATGTCTTGTTTATTCGCTTTCCACTTCCACACAAAATTTTCTATCGTGTATATTGTGTTTTGTAAAACCAAAACCAATTTGGCAAATGGAAAGTTAACGTAGAGCGTTCTATGTGTTTTGCCTGATGTCACATTCCTTTCGGCAAGAACTTATTTTGGTTTATCCTCACTAATGCTTTCAACAAGTTTGAAATGAAGCACCATCCCCTTTTTGCCTGAGTCATCATCATCATCATCATCAATATCATCATCATCTTCATCATCGTCATCATCAGTTGCAGACTTGCATGTATTTGTCCGGTCAAGTTGTTTTCCCTCTATGGCGGCCATCATTTTCACCAGTTCATATGTCTTTCAATTGTATCTACTTGAATGTCTGTTTTTCTGTCGCCATACATAGTCTTCTCAATAACTAAAATTAGTGTTTTTAGTAGGCTAAGTAAGTTTCACAGAAAATTCCTGACCGTCTTTGCAGGCTCTTTTTTTAGACACTCTAGTAAACCTTTACTAAGCTATCCTTTCATGGGTGGTTGGCGGGTGCTCTTGTGTGGTTTGCTCCTTCTTTTCAAATAAACGTCTATTAGTGTTATCTCTCCTCCTTCTTTTAATACCTCTAATCTTTGGCACTTTTATTTGACCAAATTGTGTTGTTGAAAGTGCCTTATAACACATTAAAAAATATTAGTTTTCATTTTTCAAGTATTAGAAAAAGTTAAGTAAATGTATTTACTACACCTGTAGTCCTTCTATCTATTTTTGTGCTGTTTGTTTTTTCCCAAGTACATGTATGGAGATGGAGTATACCCCTATCAGGTGGTAGTGGAGCGAAACTGTTATCAGTTTTCCTGACAGAAAAATTTCACCCTACTTTTTGGGTTGTCAGTGTAATCAGGCCTGAATTAGTGGTGCAAGGGTCCCTGGGCAAGAAACCCCATGATCTCCTTGGCAAGAGGTCTTTGATGAGGGCAGCTGCTGATTAAAATAGGTTGTAGGTGTAGTTTTTGTGTGTCAATCTTTTGAGTACTCCAAGAGCTGGGTCACATGCTGACAAAGAAGTGCATCGTGGAGCAGTGTCGAAATAACAGTCTTGTATAGCCAGCCCACTACAATCAGGATCGCGTCATCACCAGATTGTAAAAAAAGCAAAGAATACAACCCCAGGGGTACAAAATGATCCCAGGGCGTATGGATAGGGTTAAAAAAATACACACTATAAAAAAACCCAAGACAATATCTTAGTGAAGTTCTTTTGTGCTGGCCAAATTTAGTTGTTTTGTTTAATCAGTTTTACCCCAGATTTTTACTATTTTAGTAATTTTACTCAACTCAATATATATGAGTTGTCAAATGAGAGATAAATGATTGATAAACATTATGTATTGATTCTGCAGTGTTGAGAGGCTGTGTACAGAATTGCCATAAAATCATGTTTATATAATATTGTTTTCCACACACACTGTATATGTATGAAATGTGAGGCATGCTGACAAAATGAATTATTTCTCGGATTTTCGCCCTCTGAACACTGAATGGTACATGAAAGTTAAAGGTTGGGTTGGTACAATTTATTATGTGAAATGATAAAAGACATGTTCAACTGAAGAAAGTGACATCCGTTTAATATCTTTTAATTTGATGTGTCTATTTTCAGCCGACAGCCCCATTCGTGGGTTGCGAGAAGTACTTCATTTGTCAACATGCCTCACAAATATTTTTGGAGCTTTCATGAAGTTTACTTCTGCTATTACTTCTTGTCGGTATTCATTTGCACAATACACTAATGAGCTGCTGACAAGTTTGGTGGTAATTTTGCTGGATTGCTAATGATTCTTTACTTAACTGAACTTAATAATGAGTATGTTGCTGTTAAGTCAAATGAATCAACCATCGATGGCGCAGCAAGACAGAAAAGATTGACTTATTGTGTCCTGCAGTATATTATTCTATACTTCTGATGTAGATGTGAACCATTTGTGAGGCACCGTGATGAAATCAGGCGCTCATCAAAATAACAAAATTGGAGAAACAGGCATTTTCACACCAGTTTCGCAATTTTAACCAACTTTTTGGTTTTTTGTTCAACCCTTTTCAAATAAAAACACATTTCCAGGTGATTTATAAGGAAAAACGTTGATTAAAAGCTCAAAATATGTAATTTTCAGTTTTCAAGGACTCTAGCTATTGAAATTACCAAATTTTGGCAGCCATTTTCTCGCTATTTTTACCGCTGAAACCAAGTGAACTTACCTCTTTCAATCACAAATATCTTCACTTCGGCTCAAGATAGATGTGTAGTGACTAACCTTATGACTAAATTGTTGGGGTGTGTTGTTATGTGTAGTGCGTCGCTCTTGAGTTCATGAGTAACAGTTCAGTGAAAGTGTCCAAGTCCAAGCTGTTCGGGTGGAATGTATGAAAGTTATGTCTCGTCCTACAACGACTTACATGCGTGTGTGTCTCTTCATGCTACATTGGTGACCCCGACGTGATTTAAGGTAACCTTGTAGAGATCTAGATTTAATTTAGCATGACCTAGAATCTTGTAACAGCGATACGTTTCTCAAAATCATGTCAATCGAAACTGTTTCTCATGAACTCAAGAGCGACGTATTACATATAACTACAACACACCTCAACAATTTGGTCTTAAGGTTAGTATTTTTTTCATCAAAAGCAAGATAAATGAACAAGCTTTAAGATATACCAATAACTCCACATGCACAAAAATTGACACGCGCCTGATTCCACCACATCGTGACACATCTTCACATTTCATATTTTGTCAGACCTTGCTTAGGCTTCATGAAGTTCTACGTTAGATCAGATTTACATTTAAGAACAAATACATTAAAAAAAAAAATTATTTCCATTTCATTTATTTTTTAAAAAGAACTCTACGGTTTAGGTTATAGTTTTTGGAGAGGTATTATGTTTATGACTGTGATAACATTTTAGCGAATTTTGTTATTGAAATAAGTCATACATGCTGTTATATAAGAAAATATTTTTTATTTTGGTCTTAAGGTATTTTTTTCTCTTCTGGAAAATAACAGTAAAGGCTTTTCTTTTTTTTGTTTTACGAAAAAAAGTTTTCAGTGTATTGTCTCTTCTTTTTTAGCAAGTAACCATGCAGGCTACATTTTCTCTGTTCAAAGCGAAAAGAGTTCAAGCGCTGTTGATTCTTGTGAAGTTTCCATGATTGAACGGTTTAATGTCAGAACATTTGTCTTTAATTACGGATATTTCGATTACTGTTTTTGCAGTTGTTTTAAGAAATATTATTTGGAAAAACTA